CGGCGGTGGCGGCGGAGGTGGCGGCTGTATAGTTCAATTGAAATAATGATAGTTTCAAATATCTATTATGAATGTAGAAGTACAGAAATATTTATGCTTCCCTTATGTTATGAAGCAATAGATATTTCTTCTACTGATTAGATTAAAATATGTTTGGTACATTCACATCCCCCTATGATTGTAAAGCCATCACCAAATAGTTATGGTATACACTACCTGTAAACTGGCTAGTCTAAACCCTGAATAGAAAAAATGGCTTAATCATAAAAGATTAAAGTATCACATGAGCTGTAACATCTTTTTCTTTGACATGGCAATGGTTATTTATCTCTCAAACAGATCTAGTTCAGTTAAGGACCAAAGAATCTCTCTAAAGTTTCTTTCACTATTTAGGATGAAGCTATTAATTCCTTTGTTATATTTCACATGGAATTCTACCTACTGGTAGAAAAAATGTTCCCTTGTGTGCTGTTTGACTTGGGTACACTTTGTTTTAAATCTTATATTTATCCTTAATTTTGGCACAGTTTTCTTTTTTGTATGTTCTCCTGCTATATCTAACAAATTTGTGGATTTTGAGCTCAAGATTAACCTATTATACCTTTGCTTTCCAAGATGTTCCTCATGTTAATTTCTGAGTATTGTTATTACATTATTTACATAACCAGAATCCCATACTTCTTTTTTGAAATAATCTTGTTGCATTTTTGTTTGATAGGTTTGAGGAAAATAGTTGTGGTGATCAAGAAAGAAACTCACAGCTGCTTCAGAAGCTAGGCAAAGTCTTGATTCAAGTGCATTTACCCTTCCTTAAATCTATTTAATACAAGCCATTAGGATTTTTAATAATATCTGGTTATCCATTTACTTTCTCCACAATTACTACAATATTTCTATTTCTATTAGGACTACATGGTGTAATCTGAATCCAGAAGCACATATAAAACTCACACATTTTTCTCTTTTCTAATACACATACCTGCCTATAAGTGTGTATAATAAATACAAGTTTCTAGATTTTGGATGATTGCTTGAGTTAATTATTCCATACTAGTAAGTAAACTTTCCCCACTTTGGTGAAGCACAGTGCATGAATCTGCTGTGTGTACCCAGAACCCCTGGAAAAGATCGCTTAATTCATATTTGTTGATTAAAATAAAAATATGTTAACTCAAGAAAGAGCTTCTCCACTCAGAACATTTCAGTACCTCCTTTGGCCTTTTGATATAATCTTTTGTCATTCTTGGATTTCCAGAATAAGTCCCTAATTGTGTCTTCTGGACTCCTGCCTTGCAGAAGACATTGGTTATTTAAAAGCAGACCCTGCTCCTCTTTCAGGAAGGCAGGAACATTGCAGAACAGGCCTTGTCCGGATTCATATTGTTTCAGTTCTTTGCTGAGGCACCATCTCTTGATTCCTTACAATAGAAATGTAGAGCTACAGCCAGTCAAACTAACCACTCAACTGATATGACTTTAATTACAATATTACCTTGTATAAAGTAATAAAAGAGAATATCACAAGTCTGCCACCTGTGAGCTTCAAATCATAGTAAAGTAGTAATTTAATCAGAACCAGGAGCTCTTGTTGGACTTCTCCAGAAAGATACTATCTCCAACAAAGCTGCACTGGAAAGCAGCTATTGGGATAATCAGGGTGTCATTTATATCATGCAAAGCCTTATAAAAAGCCTTATCATACAGCATTATAAAGCACAAATTGACCAGCTGACAGTTATTTGAGAGGTATTAGTAAATTAGAACACATCAATTTTGGCAGGATTTAGTTCTGCAAGCCTCCCAATTGTGCCTGCATTAGCAAACTATATGGTATTCATAAAATTATTATATTTTTATTATGTAAATCTGCTCAGCATCTTCCATATCAAAGGCTTTGTTGAACATTTGGCAAGGTTAGGAATAACATGAATTTCACCATAAATTGGTGAGCCATTCTTTAAAGCCACTAGGAATGGTGGGGCAAATTGAGAAGTTCTCACCAGAATGTGAACAACAGCTGAACTGGCTAGAGTTCTGCATCATACAGATGTTGAGCTAGTCCATCAAACTGACTTTAATAAGCATAAGAATTTGGAAAGTGTGTGCAAGCACAGAAAGAAGTGTTATATATTCAACAGTAACTGGAGACAAAGTATTCCGCATATTGTTTGGAATACTGTAATAGAAATTATTTTGAAAATCCCAGCCCTACTCTCAGTACTGAGCTGCCATGTGGCCTTCAAGAGATGTAATTGAAATGCACTGCTTTTCAGACTTCCTACCATCAGTAGAGAAGTTTGCCTTATAATTCCCTGAACACTGCTGGCAAATTTGCTAGATAAATTCTCAGTTCACGTGCATCTGATTAGTCTAATGTTTCCTGTGCAGAAAGAATATTATCCAAGGACACTCAACCACTTCCTCTCTTATATGTTGAAGGTAAAAATACTTTGTAGTTGCAAACTATCTTTTAAGGAAGTATGTCTATCATTACTATCTTTGGGAATTCCATCAAAGCTTCCAAGAAATCAAAGGGCTGCACAGAATGCAGTTGGAAAATAATAGCCCTGATGCAAACAATACCTTCTCAGTTTCAGCTTTGATCTTATATATTCTATGACATGAAAATAATACCCTTGCACCGTTGCTACATGAACTGATTATTTTTTTACTAGTGAATGGAAATAGTCCTCTAGAATTCTATTTATTTCCAAATATAATCCAACTTCCAGAAAATTTCTACGTTCATTTTTTAGCAAACCACCTCTTTTTGTTCCTGTCCATTGTTTTTTCTAAGTAATTCATTACTTAGAATGCCCAGCATTCATTATGGAGTAATGCAAACACTTTTTTGTAGCCTTTCTATCCTTAATGGATGGAAGGATAGATGGATGGATGACGGCCACCCCTATAAATGAGCATTCAGGTTTCTTACCTGTGAGACCGTGATGCCACATTTCTTGGCTAGTTCCTCTTTGGCTTCCTCACTGGGATAAGGGTTGCTGAGATGAGAATAGAAATACTCATTGAGGATTTCTGTAGCCTGCTTGTTGAAATTTCTTCTCTTCCGCCTGGACACAAAACATGAAGGATAATCAGTATCAGTGATTCCAGAGCATTATGTTTAAAAGGCAAGTCCAGAGCCATGAGATTCCTCCTCTGCTCCTACAAATGGACTGTTGCTCAGTTACGTCATCTTTTTCTGGGTCTCACCTTCTGGGGCAAATGAGACATCTAACATGCTTGGTATCCTCTTGATACTTGCACCACCAATCTCATTAGCTGTTTTCTGATACTTTTCTCTTGTAAAGCACCTTTCATTTGCCCTTTCCAAGAATAAAAAATGATACCAACTGGAAAGGCATAATTTACTCTTCAACCATCTACTTTTGCTACATGCACAGATCAGGGTTAAAATGTGGTTTGTTCTATCTTAATTCTTTGCCCATCCTGTTAGGCTTCTCCTCAATTAAATTGTTTGAATCATTATGTAATGAAAAACTATGGTGGAGTTCAGACAAAATCAATTTCTTAAAGAATAAAAATATTAAGTGAGCTCTGACCTATCCAGAGCTTATACTATTCTCTAAACTTTCCTAATCTTGTCAGTTAGAGAATTTGCAGTTGTTTGCACTTAGTGTTGGATCTGGCAAATTAGATTAGTCATATATTTCTAATCTTGTATTTGTGCTGGAAATAATTCTATCACTCATCTATCTCTTATGTCAGAAAGCTTTAGCAACAGTTTCTTTTTAGTTAAGCTCAGTAATGGTGCAGCATCCCCTTACTTCTTCTAATTAGAAACTGATAAAACACCCTTGTAAATCAGTTAATCGAGTGTCTAAAGTGAGTCTCACCAAAATCAGGACTATTATATATATATCTGAATTTGGGGTTAAAGAATAAGAAGTCAATCACATTTTTACTTTTGGGAATTAAACTGTTAACAGCTCAGTACTGGAAAATCCTTTGTAATTTATTTATTGAAAAATAACACAGTAAAATTTGCTGAGCAGCTCTGTTCAAAAAAGTATCAGATAAAGCTCATATGTTGAAGAAATAAGATGGCGAACCATCGTTCTATAGGATCTATTTGTTTTATAAACAATTATAAGTCTTCATAACTCACAGGATATGTGGAAACTAGAAATTTTTGATGCTGAACTAGTAAAGTACCAATCAAAATATATTGTTATTATTGTAAATTAAATAAATAATTTTTAAAAGTTAAAAGGGTCTAGCCCAAGCAAGTGTTTACTAGCTCACTTCCCCCACTATCACCAAATAAATTATTTATGACACTATCATCCTGTGAATGGGGGAAAATCAGCTCTCTAACTGGGGAATGCTTCCTGAGTGCCATAGACAAACAGGCAAATGTATATGTCTGGGCTAAAGCTCACCGTGCGTCAAGAAATCGAGAGCGCAAGATCATGACGGCTTCACACGTGCTCTGTTTGAGTTGCATCTGGATGGAGCTGAATTTGCGGTGGATGATGCTGACCATCCTCTCTATCTCTTTGGGTGAGATAGGCCGGGTCCTGCTCTGTTCCCGCAGCAGGTTCATCACATGGGTCGTGAACTCATTACATGCCTGGGACAGCAGGAGAAAGAGCATGGAGAACCCTTAGGACCTAAGAAGTCATGATAAGGTGGCATGTTGCAGCTCTAAGGATGCATGAGGGAATGTCTTTGCTTCCTCAGAGCTCTCTATTTTTCTGCCCCATAGTCTTGAACGATTATTAACATTCTATAATATTAAGGGCAGATGCAAAGGGAAAGTGGGAGGGGAGTGAGAAAAAAAAAGATATGAATAAATATTTAACAAATTGCATACATGAATATATATACAGACAGTCCACTACTTACGAACACGTTAAGTTCCAACAGACTGTTTGTAAGTCCGTTTTGTTCATAGGTCCAACCAAGTAAAAAAAGTACTGTCAAAAGTAAAAAAAAAAAAAAAAAAATTAAAAAAAAAAAAAAAAAAATTAAAAAAAAAAAAAAAAAAATTAAAAAAAAAAAAAAAAAAATTAAAAAAAAAAAAAAAAAAATTAAAAAAAAAAAAAAAAAAATTAAAAAAAAAAAAAAAAAAATTAAAAAAAAAAAAAAAAAAATTAAAAAAAAAAAAAAAAAAGGAGGAGGAGGAGGAGGCCGGCCCACACAGGGCAGCAGTGTAGACAGAGGAGCCCTGTCTTCTGCTGCCAGTGCAAGAAGCGATAGCCTGCACACTGTGGAGAACTAGGCTGTGATGAGCCAGTGGGGCGCGGTGCTCTCTGCTGCCAGGCAAGGTAGGACAGGCAGCAGTAGTTCCCTGGGTGAAGGGGGCAGCTATGCGGGAGGCAAAACTGCTGGCCCTTTGCGAGGCCTTGCAGGAGGAAGGCAGCCTCCCAAAGTGCACTGTAAACTCCAGTGCAAATCTCCAACCTCCCAGAAGGCAGGAAAGCATTAGTTTGTGGCATGCTGGAAACTAACCCTTTTCCTCCTTCTCCCAACTTCTGGGTCCATCTTCTTTGTATCAGTGAAAGTTCGCAACTCAAAAGTTCATAAGTAGGGGACCGTCTGTGTGTGTATGTATGTATGTATGTATGTATGTATGTATATATTACACACACACACACACACTGTATATATACTCTGTATACAGACACACACACACACACAAATAAAACAAACAAACATGTTCTGATTCAGCCACAGCCAGCAAGGTGCTTCCAAGAGAACTTCAAGAAAAACATGTAAACAGTGTACTCTCATATATGCTTTTGCCAATATAAGCTAGTATTTTTTTCTTAAAACTCACACACACACACACACACACACACACCCCCTCTCAATTATTATGTAGCCAAGGGTGCAATCAAAGGATGCATGACAAAAGTTAAATAGATCAATTGCAAAACATCTGTGAAGTTCAACTTATATAAAGTTCCTCCACAAGTTTTAAATTGCATATCATCTTAGATCACAGGCTCTTTCAAATGATCTGCTGCTAAAATTCTGCTGTCAAATTTCAGTGGGAATAAGGAGGAGCCTTTGGATGCATTCCAAAGTCTCAGGGACTGCATATTGACTAGGGTCTGCTTACCCAAGCCTTATATAATGTTTCAAATATTAGGACATACAAATGTAAATCAGATTTGCATATCTCTCTGATCTGTGGCTGGAGCTGAAGCTGAAGCTAAGCAGAGTGGGGTTTCGTTTGTGCCTAGATGAAAGACCACCTGAAAACCTCATTTATGCCTCCTTGAATTCTATGACAGAAGAAAGAGATGGGGAAATATGCACTAAGTAAATAAATGGATAAAGAAGAACACTTTCATGGGATATGCATTAAGACAGTCATGCAGATGCATAGCCAAATTCAAAAGTTATCTTTCTACTCCATTACTTTCAAAGGATGTGCATCTGAATTTATTTTGCTGTCTCTCACACACATGCCTTTCTTCCAAATATATTATGGCAGCATACAAAACAAGACCTCAAAATTGTCATATAATCCTAATTTATAATAACAAAATAGAGTCATAAAACAACTCAGAATCTACAGCCGGGGCAAATTCAGGTGTCTACCTGATGATGAGTGAGAGCTGCTATAAGCTATATAACACCTCTGTTGCAGGAGCTATACTGGCTAACAGTTTGCTTCTGGGTCAAGTCAAGGGGATGATTATTGCCAATAAAGCCTAGATGGCTTGGGTTCTGGGTATCTGAAATCATCTCTTCCAAGTCAAACCTTCTCACCTGATAAGGACCAGTCAAGAAGATGTGCTGTAGGTCCCCACCTTTCACAACATAGGAAGGGTGGGTGCCCAGTAACATACCTTCTCTGCCATGGCCTCTCTCTTTGGAATATTCTGTCTTCTGAAGATTGGATGATGATTAGTGCCACCCCTTTTGCTATTCCGAAAGGCCCTCAAGACCCAGTTATGTGATCAGGCCTGGGGTTCCCAGGGAACCGGAGACTTGCTTAGATAGCTCCATTGCTGAGGGGGCCATTTTTATTCTCCTTTGCCCTATGGTTTGTATTTCTGTTTTTTTAATGGTATTTATTAATGTGTTTTTTTATATTTCTTCAGTTGTTTTTACTTGTCTTTTTATCTGTATCTGTTGTACGCTGCCCAGAGTTGCTTCAGTGAGATGGGTGGCTATATAAATTTGTTTAATAAATAAATAAATAAATGGTTCCCTCCTTATTAATATTTGGAGGTGAGAGGGGGGTGCATGTGTGTGTATGTGTGTATATTGTCCAGTGACCTATATGTAGCACTGTTGATGGGTGCGATCATGACTTTATCACTGATAATTCTTTTATTTTTATTTTTATTTTACTATATTGTTTTGTATTATAAGCCACCTAGAGTTTGGGATTGAGGCAGCATAAAACAGCATAATACTGAGAGAGCCAGTTCAGTGTAGTGGTGAAGGTGCTGGCCTAGAAACCAGGAGATGGTGAATTCTAGGCCTCCCTTGGGCGTGAAAGCTGACTGGGTGACTTTGGGCCAGTCCATCTCTCTCAGCACAAGAGGGCCAGTCTAACCCTGTGAGGTGGGAACCTCACAGGGTTGTTGTGGGGAACAGTGGAGGTGGGAGCATTATGTACACTAAAAAGGTAGAAAAATCAAGGTCTGCAGAAAGAAAGCTTCCTAAGAAAGGCTACAGAACAGATTTTTTTCTCACTTTTGTAAACATTAATGCATGGAAGCTTCTCCAAGAAGGACTTCCCTAACAGATTTTGAGATATGAGCAACAATATAAAGAGGCATTCTTGTAGGAATTCTATTCTATTGACTTCCATTTTTTTATTAAGAGAGTGGAGCTTATATTGGGGCCACCATCTACCATTCCAAATCAAACCACCCCTTTTTAAATTGGATAGCTCCAACTCAAGGAAGCAATTAGTTTTATATATTTTCTCCTCCAAATTATTGTTAGTAGAATAATGTTTCCTGCTTTTATTGTCCAATTCAAAATATAAAATTAGATGGATGGATATTATGATCCCAATGTCTTACATGAGTCAGTATAAGGAACTACTGAAACCAATGGGCTCATCAAATGCATGGAAGAATTAAAGGCAGGTATTCAGTTTAATCCAGTTACAATACAATCCAGAGATCTTGTATTACTCATCTTTCTAAATTTCAAACACTTTAATGAAGCCAAAACTGTATCTGTTTTATAATGGGAAAAAATAGAGAACAGTTTTATTAGTTGTTGTTGTTTATGAAGATTCTCAGTCATCCAGGTGGAATTGTCTGGAGGTTGAATCATGGCAACTGGACTTCTTTTCTTTTTGGTTAGAGCCATTTTGCAAGTTGTCCAAGCAGCTTCTTCGGCTTGGACAAGTAGCGAAACGTCTC